TTTACTCTTGCTGTTAAAAGAAAGATGTCAAGTTTTGAAGGAGTGTGCCAAAATGAATGTGTGTCATTCTCATATGCCCTGCTAGCCTGGCCAGCCAGACTGACCAACAAAAGGCGTAGGAGTATTGGTGACAGACTGAACCAATCAAAGCACTGGAGGAGAGCCCAATGCAGCAAAGCTTTTTGTTTTGCAAATATAACAGTAAAAATTGCTGCTTAAATGGAGGGACATTGTAATGCCTTTTATAATGTCCTGAAAGAGCGTTTTATTATGTTAACATTTCAACACTGGCTACTGTAAGAGCTTTGCTATTAAAAAAAATGCATCACATCATGAATGTCTGATTGGTTCTAGAACTTTGTTATTCCTGCCTTTAAAATATGACTCCACATCGTTTCTTTAACATAGAAGTGTCTTGCAGAGTTAATTCTGCACATATATGCTTCTCTGATTTCTACAGATAAAATCATTCTGCCAGTCACCCTAAGTAGTATTAAGCACCCAGAGAACATTTTGGTGTAGAAACATCCAGTTTTATTGTTATACATATCAGTTTGAACCAATTTTGGGGCTCTGAGAGGGGTTCATATTAGCTGTAAGTGGTAACAGTTTCAGCTCTTTAAGCTGGAACTGAAGTGCCATTGAGATTTGAACCTTAGCTGCTCCTGAATGACTTTGGCATATTAAACAAGATAATCACTCAATCTCTTTGAACAAAGGAAAGGAATCTGCTAATGAAACCAAAGAAATCCCCTAAGGACCTAAAGTACCTTTAGTCTTAGAATCACACTCAACTCACAGCCATGCGCCCAAGTCAAAGGCATCATGTTTCTGCTCGTCTCACTATAAAATGATACAATCTTTTATTAATGGTCTGGGCTGCTGTGTCGACATGGAGACCATTTTAATGATTAATCTCAGAGGAAAGTGCCCATTGTAAGCTTTGAAATCTTTGCTTTTTTCACACAGATGTCAAAATGATCTGCGTTTGAAAAATCTTATTCATTCATTAGTAAGAACATTAAAAGACCAAGAGACTATATGATATATCTATATACAAAATAATAATTTAATCCTTTAAGGATGTATGAGATCACAGCTACACGCAAAAAGGCTGTGAGATATAGTCAACATAAGCAAACATCTTAATATGGTCAAAAACTGAGATATTCAAAAGAACAAAATGGGACAAAAACAAAATTTGTGTCATAATGTCATAATAAAGCTTTAAAAAATTTTATATGAAGTACATCTAAGTTTGAGGTAATCTCAGAACAATAAATCAATATTTCCTACAACCAAAGTAAAGTGCTTAGATTATGAAACAGGAGAACAACTTTTTTATCAAAGTTGCATCTACACATGATTAATTATATTAAATATTATAAATTATATTAATAACTTCTATTGATATGTTGCAAAGCAAAGTATCACTACAGCAAATGTCACCCTATGCAAAGACAATCAGGAAATTTGGCTTTATTGAAGATATATGAGGCTGTGTATCGAGACAGATCCTCCTTCCTAAACATAAAAAGCTTAATGCTTTTAAATAAGGTAAAGAAGGAAAATATTATGTAATGTTTTCCCGATAGCTGTGGCTACCTATTGTTTTCATAATCCTTCTTGTTTCAAAGACATCTGGTCGAGATTAAAAAAACTTTTTGAACATTTTGTCTTAAACTTGTGTAAATTAAAAGTTTTTTGAGATTAAAATCACTTATTAATTAATAAAAAAAAGAGAACAAGAAGACTTGGTGTTAAACCTAAGTTCCTAAAAATCAACATACTATTTTTATAGAACCACTGAGTCTCCTGGCGCTGAGAGAACAACAATTCAGATGGGAAACGGTTGATTAAAACGAATTACAAATATCAGGGCATCTTTTCTCTTTTGCAATCACTTTAACACGGTAATTAGAGAAAATAGTGGTGAGTAATGCAGCTGGGCTGCCGAGGACGCAACGGGGAACCACCAGAGAGGAGGAGTAAAAGCAGGGAGGTTGATTGGAGTGATGCTGAATACTAACAAAGCTTGGGCTTTCTTTCTAACAAAGAAACAGATGCCCTTTCCATGATCAGTATGTCCTCTGTCACAGAATGCATTCAATTTATGTAGATTTATTGCTTTTGAGTAACCACAACTTATGGGTTGAGTAACTTACACCATCTAAATAACCTAAATAAAAAAAGACATTTACAAAGTATAAGGTTAAAGTCCCTAGAGGTGGTTTTGTAACATTTTGTAAAATCACCAGGGCATGTTTTTTTTTTATTCTATTGTATCCTGCACTATAATTACCACACGCTTTCAGCAGATGGTATAATTTTAAATGCAGCCAGTGCAATGCAAAAACATTTATTCTTTAAACTTGCAAAGCTATTTCCTCTCCCTTTCCTATACAAAAACAAATCTGTGATCTTCATCTAAATGCATGCATAATTAATCATGAAAAAATTGTTAGTAACTGCCTCAAGGTATAAAGATGTTCTTTGCTCAGTAAAGCTATATAAAGAGAAGGTCTGACTTTGGGGTTTGTTCTTGAATTAGAAGGACATGCAAAGTCAGGTTTGCACACATTAGCCCCAGGAATTTGCCCTTTTGTCTTTGTGTAAAGATATGAAAGAGAGAAAGCGTGAAAGAAAGACATAGATTCAAATAATTAATGAGACAAAGAAATGGTCAGGTACAAGATGGAAAATGAGTGAAAAGGCATCCAATGTAATAAGAAAAACCTTCAGAAAGTCTACATTAAATAATCATAAACATAAGGTAGTCTGTCTCCTCAAAAACAAAACTTCTCATAGCAGATTTCAGTAGGTTTCTTAGAAATGTTGTCTCTCAAAACTAGAACTGATCTGTCCTCTTAGTTGGAGGTAATAATGATAATAATAATAATTTTAAAAATAATAGCTTTAATATCACTATTTATTGAGCACTTTACACAGGTAGCCTCGTTCTAAGTAATGTGAACAAAATTTAAGATGAAATAAGTAAAATAACTACACTTCAAGATAAAAAAATGAAATATAAAACCAAAAAAAAAGTTGCAAATGTATAAACATAACTGTGCTTTATTGAGAGAAAAACATGCACGGAGTAAAATATGGGTACTTTCGCCACCATCCTACAGGCTTTTCTGCAATATGTTTTTTATATAAACATGCCACGATTGTAATTCAGTTATTTAATTTGCTTCAGATTGTCTACCGTCCCACTGTATTATTTTCTGTCCACCATAGCTGTTTTTTCTTTCTTCATTTTATTTTACTGTTATTTCTGACGGTCCAAATATGCTTACATGCACACAGAATCTCTTTCCATCGTCAGGCTTTGTACCAATGCCTCCTTTGAGGTAACAATGAGATTTTATTCTGACTTTTAGAACTACTTAAAAATACACAAAACTGTAGCTGAGGCTCCTGTTTGAAAAATCGCTTTTCACAGGATAAATGTTTACATTTGCGTATCCTCCACCCATGAATTTGTGCAGAATGGTCATTGGATCATGATCTGCATTTGGATGAAGGTACACAAGCAAAAAATGGTTTGCATCACACACGGTCTGCTGAATTGCAAACATAAACTTTTCTTACATGCAAACCTTCTGAAGTTCTGACTTTTTGTGTATATTTCTGATTTTCCTATGTTATGCAATCAAAAGTAATAAATGTATTACCTAATCTCTGCTTCTTAGAAGGCTTGAACTTTAGGTATTTAAGGTCTGGTCAGCGAGAGGCATGTCGGCTTAGTTAGAGTTATTACATTTGAGTAATAGTCTTGAAGTGACAACAGCAAGCGCCAATGAAGCCCCCTCGGTCGCTCTTCAGAAAGGTCAGCTACCCCCGGCCACTGCTCTGCAGTCATCGTTTGGTCACATATAGTCAGGCTAGTTAAACAGCATGCCCAGTATTGACAGCCCTTTGTCCTAATAAAGTGCCTGTTATCTGCAGCATGAGATACAGCAGGGAGGAAAGTGCAGCCAGGGGCATTTCACCATCCATCAGTTTAAACTAACACTGAGTGAGAAGCAGAGGAGCAGGACAGAGAGACAGGTGGAGTGATGGCTTTCTAAGTTATATAAACTTTGATTCAATTACTAAATAACATCTCAGACAAGAAAGTATAATTCTGAAAAAAATAATGCTATCAAAAACAAAATAAACAAAACCATTTAAGTGAGAATGCATCCAAAAAATAAATGCATGTTTAACTTAAACACTGTTTACAAAGATAAGCATTTGAATTGAACGATCAGTTGTAAATAAGTTTATGTTTGTTGATAATATATGAAAAAACCCATATCAAAGTTGTCATGTTTTTTTTTTTAACACATTTTGGTGAAATCTGTAAAATGGTAAAAGAAAAGGGTAACTCTAGAACAATTGTTTGGGTTTCCTGAAAAAAAGGAGTCTAATGCATGATGAACTTATAAAATTTGTTTGGTAAAAAATTTATATAATGAAAAAAAAAAGATGTTTTTAAGTTCAAACCTCAATTTTAGAATTTATTTTCTTAATTTCATGTTTTTTAACCAAATGTTTTCCATCAGTGCAGTGATGTGTTCTGTTTTATTACTAAATAACTATTGTGTTCAGTGCATAAAACTGGTTTGTCGTACAGTGTTTTTCAAATACATTTAGACTACATTGCCATAGTCAGATAGAAAGGCTTAAAGGATGTACTTGATTGGATGCAGTTGAAGATCCTCGAGTATTCCCTTAGACACGGCTTCTCTTTGAAGATTCAGAATTTGTCATATTAGCAATACCCCCTAGTGCGGCAGATTTACTCCATCTTCTTTCTTGTCTCTTCTCTTTCAGCTTTGAGTAAGGATTTATTTCAGACACATATGATTCGAGCTGTGGATTATTTCCACAGAAATGTGACAAAAAGGTGTTGTTTTAGGAATTTAAGCTTATTGTTGTTGAATCTTTCAGCGATTTCATGTTGACATTACAGTCAAACCTTTGTTTTCTTTTCCTGTTCTCTGTTACAGCGGGATGCAAAAGGACAGTATCTGTTTGACCTTATATGCCACCACTTGAATCTACTGGAGAAAGATTACTTTGGCATCAGATATGTGGATCCTGACAAGCAACGGGTGAGTATTTGGGTGAGTGTGAAGATGGGAGAGGCTTTAGGATATAGTTCCTGGTAAGATACTTTTAAAATCTCCAGTAAATATATTGCTGGATAACTATTGTTCGATAATATATAATTCAAGGTTAATAATCTAAACATCACTACCCAGTACCCATTTTTTTATGTTTTAAGCATTACATAGTTTTTGGAATCCATTTAGTCATTCGTTCCTAAGCTCTGGTTTTAGAGGCACTTGGGATTTATTGTGCAAAAATCATGTGATTTTTGCAATGGAATATTTAAAAGGTAAACAGGACTCAATGAAATATGTGATAATAAAGAGCTAAAAAGGAGTCTTAGCTCTTTGACCTTAGCTTTGTCAAAAATCTTTCAAGCAGAACTGGTGGAAATTTTGATAACTCTAAAGTTGCATCTGGGACTGACATCAAGTGACATATCTTAACAAAACAAGTTTCATGTTTGAAAACCAGCATACTTCCTAACAGCTTTAGTCAGTGACTTGTTATTAGAAACACAAGCCAACTTTATCTACAACCTTAGCTACATGTTCTCTAAAGGAGGTTCTAAATATGAGATGCAAACTGTTAAAGAGCAAATAAACTGTTTTTAATGAAGCTATTATCTACTAAGCATTGATACAAAGCAGCCTTATGGGAGGCTTAATTACACATCCCTAGGAACTCTGTCTGAAGAGTGACTTTCTTAATCATTTTTTCCAACCCCAAACTCCGCTAATCAATTAGTAACAAATTTAATAGTCTCCCTAGAAACTTTAAACCATTATAAAAATGTATGTTTCTCTTAGATATAAGGAAATTTATACGACAGTATACATCTGCTATAGCATCTATAGTCTAAACAATTTTGTTACCACACTTCACTGTCAGTTGTGCTATTTCATGTGTGCTATGAATGGGTTTGTCATAAAAAAAAAAAAAAGCAGTCAGTAGTAACAGCTGAATGTTCAGACACTTGAGATTGAAAGTGTTAGCACAATGTGAGAATTTGCCACTGCTCAGGTTTGGGAAATGTAATTATTTCCATGTGTTTCTCATTTCTCATTTTTGCTGCAGCACTGGTTGGAGTTTACCAAGTCAATTTCAAAGCAGATGAAATGTAAGTACCATCACTTTAGGTTTCCTGCCTTTTAATTAACAACAGAAATACTTTCTAAATGTAAGAAATAAATGCTTTGTGGTTCAGTCTGTGTTAGTTTAAACAGGTATATTTAAGCTCCACCTACAGACGAAGTAGATACGATTCTTAAAATCTTTTTTGACACTGAGGGCTCTAAGGTAGTCTATAAGTTAACTAGGTTTTCTGCATTTTTGACGGAGTTTTACCTGGACCTGCTTCATATGGATAAGCAAGACCAGAGATGGAAATGAGCGAAAATATGAACTGTCTCTGCAGGATCTTAAAGGGATCTTCTATAGTGCATCAAGAATGCTTTGTAATTTCTATTACACATTATGATATTATCTCAGTTATTTTGAACATCCATCAATCTTGCAAGGTGAGATTTAGGATGATTACATTGGTAGCAAATCTAGCTACATTTTGTAGTGTGCTAGAGCCTTGTAACAGCAGTGGCTGTTGGTGTATATCAGCACTTAGCTGATATACACCAAGCAGTATCCGAGTAAAAATCTGATGCATGATAGCAATATCAGTCATCATGCTGACCCAATGCAAAGGCTAGAACCTCATTACAACTTGTCACCCCATTAACCCCATCATTGACTAACAGCAGCATCAAATTCTGCCATATTGGCTATGATGGTGCAGCTCCTGGAATTAAGTCTCATATGAGCCTGATTTAGGCACTAGTTCTCACAACAGACGTACAGCTTAACCGGACTGACAGCGATCAGAGACAATTCTGTATTAAAATATCACAGAAACTGAAATCAGTACCAGGTAGACAGCGGTTCCTTAAAACAACAGACTAGCACAGCAAATTGTGAGGAGCAACGTTCAAGAGGAAATGCACCTGAAAACAGCTAAAGGCTAGGACAGGGGTCGGCAACCCAAAAAAATGCTCAAAGAGCCAAAAAAAAAAAAAAATAATCTGTCTGGAGCCACAAAAATGTAAAAGTCTTATATATGACTCATATGGCAACATGGGCTCTAAGTGTATTATCCCACTATAGAAAAGAACTATGTAGGCTTAAATATATAATAAGCATTCATGATTAAATGTTTATCCTGGAACAAATGTCACATAGTAGCATGAGGTAAGGGAGGAGCAGTGAACGCTCCCATCGCGCGCCGCTTCACCGCCCTTCACTGCGCGGTTTAGGTTTTTGTTGCATTGATGAAATTATAGAAACACAATAAAGAAATCTTTCTATGATGTTTCTATGTGTTTCTGTTGGGAGGAGTTGATTGAGTCATGAGAAACCAAGCAGGAACTGACATCCATCAGAGCAGAGCTCTCTTAATCTGAAATCCCACATCTTCCTTCACCATCGTTCCTTAGTGTGATTTATATTTTCAGGATTTGGGAAAAAAATGGAAGAAATTTCCCATCCCTGCATCCGAGCGCTACCTGTTTGATCTATGGGCGGTTTTCCACTTTTGCAACCAAACTATATTTTCCTTTTTCCCCCTTTGGGATCCATGGTCCAAGTTTTGACAAATTATTGTTTAAATTTATTTATGATACAAATGATTACAGCATTAGAAAACATATTTTTTCTTTGACCTCCTTCACACCATATTAAAACAAAAAACAAAAACAAAAAAAAAAACAGATTTTCATAAAGAGCCACATGTGGCTCTGGAGCCGCGGGTTGCCGACCCCCGGGCTAGGAGGACACTGATTCCAACTCTCTTTCTGGCAAATGTCCAGTCTGTGGATAACCAAGTGGATTTTTTACAGCCTGCTTCTAATTGTTTCTACAGAGTTGAAAATTTGTGCTGTTTTTTGCCTAACAGAAACCTGGCTTTATGAAAACATGCAAGATCTAAACTAACAGATCAATGAGCAGATCTTGACCAACAGTTCATAAAACCCAGGGAAGGGGACTCTGTATGTACATTAATGAGTAATCTGCCAAGAGAATTTACTGCTGCGTTCATGATGCAGTATCGACTGTATGACACCATTAGATCACTGCAGATAAAGAACTATTTTACGTGGTTGCAGGAACTTTGTTTCCTAGAAAAGAAATGACACCCAGCTTTTACCATGGCGTCATCTTTTCCATGCAGTAGACGGCCCTCTGGTGTGTGTAATATTCATGACGCATAGAGAGCTATTCCGTGTTTGCTTGTTGCCATCTAAAATCACCTCTTCATCCTAGTGGCACAAACATATTGACCGTTGATGGGATGAATTGGGCCAAAAGAAAAAAAAGTGTCTGTGACCCAGGGAGGTACCCACTGTGCTACCGGACTGTTTTCAGTGCACATATCGGCAGGTCTTTAGAGAGGAGGTTAAAAATGGGGGACAGGTGGACTTGGACCTCTCCTTGGCTTCAACTCCAAGTGTGCTGATGATGTCACTACCATCAGGACAGTAACCTAGTATCAGAACCATTAACCCTGTCTGAATGCTGAGGTTATAGCTCTGCTGAAAGTTAAGGTTGCTGTGTTTAGGACAGGATAGGCATCAGCACGAGGTGAGAAAAAGACCAACCTCAGGTTTTGTGAGGGTCAAAGCTACATACAGTACACCCAGAAAAGTCAGGCCTGCTTCACTACTACTAATTATCTAGTTTTAGAGTTGCCCTTAAAGAGTACCAACAGATGTTAAATCATTTTTTTTTATTATTCCATTAATTTTGTTTCTATTTTCTTTACCTTGTTAGTAATATATGTGTATTGAACATTTGAACAAAAATCTTCTCTGTATGAGAGCTAAATCGTCCGACCCGCCATTTTCCCACATATGTTCCACCTCTAAATGTTTTCTGTTTGTCTCCTGTAGCCCAGCCTCCATTCACCATGTGTCTGAGAGTCAAGTTCTACCCGCCTGATCCCGCTGCTCTCAAGGAGGAAATTACCCGGTATGACACATGATGGCATTCGGCTAAAGGAGTTAATAAAACCATCTTGCACTAATTTTCTTCTAAAGAGGTCGTTTGCATCTGCTTCAGTGAGATTTTCAAGAGATTTTCACCGAGAGGATATTTTCACATTTTATTGTAGAGGAGATGGTTGTAATGAAATCTCTGGACCAATCATATGTCATTCTTTTTTTTAAAACATTATTTATAAGCATTTCATAATTAAAATAATTATGTACTTGTAAAAGACTATGATACATTTTACACATACACAGTTTTTACAGGCTGTAGGGTTGAAAGGAATGTAAAAGCCTTTCCTAGTAGCTCGCTGTGATAATGGATAGCACATTAAAATCTAAATCAGGCTAGATTTTTTTCTCTAGTTTGTAAAAGGCTTTTAGGTGTAGTTTTGTAACGGCATTTAATATTCAAATTAAGATGCAAAAATAGGAAACATAAATAGAGAGCAGATTTGGTCCAGATGATGCTGAGCACATCCAGCTGGCGAATGTGTGTCTAGTGTCCACATGTTTTCATTACCAGACTGAAAAGAGAAGAGTCCACTCTGAGGCGTAATGAGATGCAGTGTGCACAACATAGAGCGTATATAATGAATAGAGTGGATAGAGGAGATAAAGGGGCAAGGAGGGCTGATTTAAAGTGTGAAGCGTAAAGAGGAGTGGGAGGGAAGGAGGACAGTATGATACATGATTATGGCAGTGGAGAGGTCAGTGCACAGAGGGTGGAAGAGGCAAAATAATCAGCAGTACACATGATTTGGTCATTCTGTCGCGTGTGCTGCGGATCTAAAATCATACACGCAAAAAAAAGCTGCTTTTACAGACATTAAGAAAATCCCTTTATTCCACTTAAAGAAATTGTAGATTGTTTCAGATAGGACTGAATACAAAAAGTCTTCCAAATGTATTTTTTTTCCAGGATTTTTTTTCCTTTTTCTGTTTTATAATCACTTCCATTTTCAGCTTACTTTATTGGTATTTAATATAATAGAACACTATGCATTATTCCTGAAGGAACATTTTTAACATGCTATAAAATGTAACCACTATTTCAGCTATTGAAAAAACAAAATTGTGAAACTATTTATAGCAGCATCTACAGAGGAAAATTATATAGGATATATCTGTACCTGCTCTGCAGAACTACACACTGATTGGAAAATGCCATTAAATGTTTCTTTTAGGATTCAAATCCTTAATCAGACCTATGTCTGGGCTTTGACCAGGCCAGAATTTAATGTTATTGTAGCTCTGTTGTACGTTTGGGGTCATGATCCTGCTGGATTAACCCTCTGACCTGGTATTAAGTGTTTTGCAGATGTTGTGCCATTCAGCATCTCCCTACTCTAATCTAATGCCTGACTTGTTAGGTTGATGATAGACACAGTTCTCTTAATAGATTTTCCCACCTGAGCCGTGTGTTTCTGCAGCTCCTCCAGAATAACATCCCTTTTGAAAGCTTTTTTTTTTTTAACTCTTGCTTAACAATTTAGGTGGTCAGCCATGTCTTCATAGTTTGGCTGATTCCTCTTTTCTTTTATCTTTTTGGACAAATAGGTTGATAAAAACTCAATGAAATATCCTAAGATTGGGATCTAATCTTCTCTAAACCAATCTGAAACTTGCTCTCTCACTTTCTGTTGTGTTCCTTGGTCTTGATGATACAGTTTCTCCGCTAATGTTCTCTACCTCCAAGGCTTTCACAGAACATCTGGATTTATTCTAAGATTAAAACCCCTTACACACAGGTGGACTCTGGTAATTGGGTGACTCCTGAAGGCAGTTGGTAAAAATGAATTTTTACTTAGGTCTGTAAGAGTAAAAGTGACTAGACTTTGCATCAAAATGTAAAAAAAGAAAGTTTCAATTGCAGCAAAAAGTTAACCTAGTAAACTAGCCCCACCCGCCAGCGGCCAAAATCATTTTTGGCTGCGAGTTTGGTCTAGCCTTGATCAATGCCCCAGGCTCTAGAATTGGCGGGCCAATCACAACGCAGACGTGTTTTGAATTTTTGGTACGCAAAGCAGGTTGGGTTTTGAGGGTGGGACGACAAAGCTGTGTGATGCTGGAGAAGGCACAACAAGGAAGATGGCAACAACTATTGAACAGTTCTCGTTTGACTCAGCTTTGGAATCAGTTTTGGAAGGATTAGACTTGGGGTTATCGTTGAAACGTGAGCAGGAAGAGGCTCTAGGCTTATTCAATTTCAAGAAGGACGTATTCGCTGTTTTAACGACAGGCTGTTTGCTTACACTCCCCCACCAGCTTTTTGTCGTGCTTCCTACGTCACAGTCAGTTGTGCTCATTGGTCAATAGGCAAAGACATGGTTTGAAAAACAACGGGTTGTTTTTATCGACAATCTTCCGATGTCTCATTCATCAGGGCCAGACTAAATTACACATTTAAGCTCACATTTAGTCTGGTTTATCAGGCTAGCAAAAAGTGCAATTGTTAAAGGGATATGAAAACCGTTGCAAGGCAAGGTAGCAGCAGTAACACTAAAAGTATTAAAAGGAGAGGAAATTTCGATCCTTTCCAATGAATTTGTATTATTATGCAAAGGTTAACACATGTGTTTAACAAAAAGACACCGTTTTAAATTGATTCTTTTCAGCAGCTACTGAAATAGATATTATCAGCCTTTGTGGAGGTGCTGGAACAGCGAAGAAAGTAGGTCTGCCTGACTGTTTATTGCCTAAAAGCAGATGTTCAGTAATTCCACTGCAGTGTCCTTGCCTCTAAAAATACAAAGAACGATGATGGCAGGAAGTAATAGTCAGCACCACTCGTCATTATCATAATCTCTGGTACAAATGTTTTCTCATTAACGTTCATGCTTGAGGAGCCATGCGGTTGGATCAGTTAGAAACTAGGTCTGGAGGCTGCAGAAAAGACGAGAAAGAGCACTATGACTCCAGGCTGTTTCCAATCTTTCTCTTAAAAGAAAAACACATGAAAAAAATCAGTTTAACACCAAGGGAAACAATAAAATCATCCTTGAGAAGGGTGAATAAACTATAGGGATTTGAAATAAACTGAGTTTGTTGCATTTCTCCTCCACTTCTAATTTTTTTCCAATAAATGTGTGAAAAATGTGTTTTTGATATATGATTGTCTTCTTTAGATATCTGGTCTTCCTGCAACTGAAGAGAGACCTCTACCACGGCCGTCTTCTGTGCAAAACCTCAGATGCAGCCATGCTGGCTGCCTACATCCTTCAAGGTAAGAGAAGGAGACAGATGGAAATGAGTTGCTCCATTCTTTGCTGCTCTTTGCTTTATTATGTTCTGTAGATTGCTTTAATGATGAATGCCGTTTATCAAAGCCAAGGAAGCTAATTTCCTGGGGCATTTCTAGTAGCCTTAAAACATAATTAAAGGAAATACCCACTGATGTTTTCATGTAAGGCATGTAATCATCTTTTCACTTTCAATTTGTCTTTTATTCTTGATATAAATATGCAGGTTGGGATTTGTGTAAGGTGAAATTGTTTTCAGCTGGTTCATTTTTTCCCACATCTGGGACCTCGTCAAACACACACACAGCTGCAGAAGCAAATATCACATAGTTGACAGAAAGTCTGGCACAGCAAGCTTCACTGAAAACACCAGATTGGAGAGGAGGGCAGGGAAACGTGCTGATAAATTAAAGATGGCTTGCCTAGTCAGCTCCTCCTGGCAGAGAGAAATCAGCTTCAGGCTCAGCTAAGGGAGTGTAATGTGGCATGAAGGACCGCCGATAATCTCGGCCATGTTTAGCCAGCCCTGCGCTGATGTGTGAATGAGTTAACCCTTTCTCTTTTACTTTGTCTTATGCCCCTTCTAGCTGAGATTGGTGATTACGACCCTGGGAAACATCCTGAAGGTTACAGCTCCAAATTCCAGTTCTTTCCCAAGCACTCGGAGAAGCTAGAGCGCAGAATCGCTGAGATACACAAAACTGAGCTCATGTAAGAGATAACAGACAAACTGATGTCTGTTTTACATTCCTGTAAATCTTTTTTTTGTTAAGATTTCTAAATTTCACCTGACAAATATTCACTTGACTAGAGTTTAAACAGAACTTATGTATTAGTTATCTAGAAGATGGAAAACTGAATAAGATTCACCCATTAGATATAGTAGGGATACTAGAATAATCTTTTTTAGAATGGTTTTGTTCCAATAACATATCAGTGGGAAAGCTGTAATATGATGTTGGGAGGGCATAAAAACTCACAAAGGCATAAAATGCATTGAGTTTTTTGTCAGACAGCTGAATTTTGAATAATTATTCAATCACATTAAGCATTCATTAATTGTTTTACTGTTTAAACAACAATGGGTTCATCTTTTTCTAAGGATTTTTTAAATAATACATTTTAATGCAAGCTGCAGCGAGGATAAATGAGAAAATAACTCATGGTGGTGAGACAGTAGGAATATGACTACCTCAACCAAGTCAGATGTTATAAGTGATGAATGCTGTATAGCACTTTGCTGCCCACCTGTGGTCATTTCTTTCCTCCGCAGCTGTTTTTAGAGCTTATAATGAACTGACATCTGGACCATTGCTTTTCCTCAGAGGACAGACTCCTGAAACATCAGAGAGAAATTTCCTGCAGAAAGCCCAAATGCTGGAGACATATGGCATTGATCCACATCCGTGTAAGGTGAGGGGCATTTTTCCACTGCCGTTATTGCCATTTCATTTCAAACTCCTTTGTCAAAATGTTGCCACAGAAAGAGCAGAACTTGCTGAGACACACATCTTTAATAGAATTCGGATAGATTAGTCCTTGTCTGTATTAGATGCTCTAAAATAAATTAATCTCATTTTACAGTTGTTGAATCACACTCTTAATTTTACTATTTATTAGGTGGGTAAAAAAAAAAGTGCAAAATTTTTTTTTCCACCAATATCATTTAATTAATGAATCTTTGAGGCATTTTTTAAACCATACTTTATTCGCCAAGATTTATCAAAGTGTGTAATTACTATTTTTAAATAATCAAATGTATTATCAACCATTAGCTATTTTTTACTCTTAACTGGTTGAAAGTTATCCTGGAGAAAAACCTTTACTGTTGTACCTTCACAAATATTAAACATGATATTTACAAAACTCAACAGTAATTTAACTAGAGCCACACACTTCAAACAGAATAGTGGAGGATCTATTATACTGTGTGCCTCTTTTTATTCCAAAAATGCTGTTGGGTGTGTGTGACTTTATTAAATAAAAATTATACGAGTCTTTTGATTAAGCTATATCGGAAAACAACAAATGGATGAGATTTGTTTATTTAAAGTACATTTTACTTGAGTTCAGTAAACTGGTCTGTTTCTGCATGCTTTAATTTTTATTGAGGGGATCTAAATCTGATTGTGTGCATTTAAAATATGCATTTCAGGATGTGGCGGGGAGCCCTGCTTTTCTCGCTTTCACACCATTTGGCTTTGTGGTTCTGCAGGGAAACAGGAGAGTTCATTTTCTTAAATGGTGAGATAAAACATGTAAATACATACATATATTCAACATGATTTGATAGCGCTTACTCTTTCATTCACTAATATTCTGACATGTGGAAGCTGGAATCTTATATACAACCTCCCATTAGAAAGACAAATATTCTACTTCCTGAGCCTCATGACCTTCATATGTGTTTTATTAATATTAGAACTAAGGACAGAACCCCGTTTTACACCAAAAGTAAATTTAAGTAATTTGGATGACATTTTACTAATAGAAACATCTCTTGTTATTCTTTAAGAAAGTGATATTCCTCTAATTACTTCTGATTTTGTCATCTGCAATCTTTGCTTAATAGTGTGCTGTTTTGGCTGTAGAAAGCATAAGATATTAAAAGAGACAGGGAGGCAATTTGATCTGCGCTGATACATTTTTTTTCCTTAATGATATGATCTGTACTATGACTGGTTGTACGTGGTCAATAGTCTGTCCACCTGCCTCTACATGTGTCATGAGGTTAATTACTGTGGCTAAATATGTTGGATATATTAGTAGAGGTGAAGAAGTGATTCATACTGACAGTTTGTACTTGAAAAAGATTTTCTTAGATATTTATAAACACTAATAACATATTGACTTGGTGCTTTTTTTAAATGCTCTTAATAATATAAGGTCAGAGATAGGCTAATCTGCACTCTGGTGGATTCTAAGTCTTCTCTTTGTTGGGCTTCCGTTGCTCTTCAGATCAGTTCTCATGTATTCTCTATGCTCTGTTTATCCGTCTCCAGGGACAATAATCACTAATTTGTTTTGTCAGCTAAACGTTGAGCGCCATGACTGCTTATGTGATCTCAAAGTAGTCGTCATGAATATTTAAAGAGGATGAAGCTTTCTGTCTCTGCTTGCTCGAATGTCTATCTATGATGGCTTGTTCTCTCGGACAGGAACGAGGTAACCAAGCTCAAGTTTGAAGCCAAGACTTTCCACATATATGCAAATCAAAAAGAGGTGAGAACGAGAATTTGGTGCATGCAGCTTACTCTGAAATGTGGCTCTTTTTTTTCTACAGCTTTTTAATTTGACCTGCACATCTTCTTATTTCTGAGTGCAGGACAGAAAAATAATTTTAACATACTTTGCGCCCACGCCAGAGGCATGCAAGCACCTTTGGAAGTGTGGTGTGGAGAATCAAGCATTTTACAAGTGAGTCTGTCATTTCTGTATTTTATTAAACTCTTCTTTCACCCTAGTGTTGTTATTTCTATGTCTTCCTCCCTATGCACTGAAAGGCTAGGGTCACATCCCTATGGTGTCCTAAAAACCCCACCTGGAAAGTGAGCTATGGGTTTATGTGACATTTCAGTGCTTCTTCTGAGTTACAGATGAGGAACTCCCATGTTCTCTAGCTGAGGGAAACAGATTAATATTCAAAAAGTTTGATCTTGGTGGCTTAAAGGGCAGTAGCAACAGAAGCTCTGCTAATGAAATGTGTAGATGACTTAAAGGACCAATGGTTTAAATGATTTTTCTGTGACCGATAAAGCTTGTAGGTATTGAGGAGCCACTCTAAGTAGTATTTGTCTACTCATAACAGACAACTTAACAACAACAAAAAAAGAAAAAGCTTTACCTTTAGGTGTCTCGTCATGTCAGCAAAAACTGTAGGTGTTTCCACTGTCGATATTGCAGCTCTCCCTTTGTCCTGAAATAACAAATATAAATTTAAAGCATTTAAAATAACCCTTTGTTGATCTCGAAAAAGCAATTAGCACTTGTTTTTAGTTTATTATTTCCTGCTAAAATTTCTCAGGGAATAGTATAAGCGTTCTCCTTTGTATTAATAGAGAAATAGAATAAACCAGTACAATTATCTTCTATTGTCTCTCAGAGAGGAAACGTTTGGAAACCCCCCCATGTATAAGCAACATGCAGATACACACTAAGGAAAAAATGTACAAACAAAATATAAATAAGAGCTTTACAGTAATGGTAAATTCACAGCATAAGAAAAAATACTGTTCAGTTGAGTTTAAAATGGCAAAGTTATTTGTTTCCATTTAGAGTAAAAATCATACTTGAGGCAGACATCTTTCTATTTTTCATCTGCTATTAAGCTTCGCATTGCAGTTCAGTCCATATAAGTAAATTAGCTTGGCATTTAGGTTTAGCTGATTTAAAACAGGTACTCAGTCACTAATGGTTGCCTAAGTGTCACAGATTGTAAACATGCCAAAGACAGAGAACCTTAGATGATGATGCCTCATCATCCTCTGTTAAATCCCTACTGATCCTTCTCCTCTTTGTCAATGGGAGGTAGTTGACTGCTTTACTTTTAAAGTCTACTCCTCTATTTTTGAAGCATGTTCTGCCCAGAATGCTGGCATGGTCAGAAACAGGGATTAGATAAAGAAAGAACAAAATTAGTTACAAAATTACGCAAAAAGTAAAACATATTCAAAATATCATTATTCTAAGCTCTTACTGCTGCTATATCCCTTCAGAGAAGTACCTCTAAGGTGTACATAATAGTTATACCTCTTAATACTTCCACTTCTTTTTATCAAACGAGCAATACATATCATGAGTGAAATATATCTAACTAGCATTTTAATAACATCTGAATTGGTCAATTCATATTATTCATTTAAACTGTAAGCTGGACATGTATCGTTTTTTCAACTGTGGCCTCATCAGGCATCAGATTTTTTTCCGAGCATTCTTTCACAGTGCTTTATTGCAATATATTTGTCTTTTTTTCCATTTTCTTTTTGGGTTTTTGTTGTCATTTGAATTGTAGGATATAAATACTTTCAGAAAGTAATGTGTCCTATGAAAATGTACAGCTTGTGCAAATATGCTTGGCAGCTAAAGCGTTTCTGAAAAGGTCCTTGAAAATATTTCATAAAGAATTCTGGGTATTTTGCTCACTGACTTCTTTTCCCCCGTCCTTTTTTTTATTTTTTATTTTTTTAACTACATTTTTTTCCCCTCACTCCTGCCAGGCTTGAAAAGTCCAGTCAAGTTCGTACAGTCTCCAGCAGCAACTTGTTCTTCAAGGGCAGCCGGTTCCGCTACAGGTAGAGTATCCTTTGATGACAGGGCAGAAAGGACACTGAAAAAATAACAGTTGGGGGTGAATATAATTATTCCTAGAGGACGTGGCCTCCTGGCCTTTTGCAGAGCTTTGTCTCTGAGGATGAGTAAGTGGAGAGAAGAAAATGAAGGGGAGCTGATCACACTTTGATTCTGCTGGAAATATGTTTTGCTCTGTGGACATTATTGCAAATTGATATATTCTAATTTGATTAAAAAAAATATATAAATCAGCCTTTTTGATGAAAGGTTTGTTAGCATAATCGCACTATTTCACTACAAAAATAAGTGCATTTACCCTTAAAGGTATAGTGGATAATTTTCTCCATTTAAAAAAAAATAAATCCACATGCACAACCCTGTACCCACTTCCTAGAGGAAACTCCTATTAAACATGTTTGAGAGCGTGCACAAACCCATTTCCCCTTAATGCACGCTTTGTTTAAAAGTTGCTGTTTTCATTGCTCTTACAAGATTACTTTCCAAAAGAAGATTCCCAATTTTTCTACTACCGTATGTCAGAATAACCACCGGTAAGTGAAAATGGGGATGAGAACGTAGGACGATCTTACATAAACATATCAGCATAATGATTGACAATTAGGAGGACCACTTATTTTTATGATCCACCTGGAAAAAGAACATGATTGGCCAATGGAGTGTTGGAATCGGGAGTGTTGGCCTAGTGGTTAGAGCAGTGGACTTGTGCTCTAAGAAGGATGCAAGTACCAAGGTGCAATGTGAGATCAATATAGTTCAATTTTAATTTTAAATTTAAAAAAATGAATGCATTACTCTTGAATAATTAGATAATATTCACTTGATATAAAACAATGCATTTTTTTTTAAATGTTAATAGTCATGTTCCATTAGCAATGTTTCTCACACATCTCCTCAGTTCAACAAAAATTGACTTATTTTAAGAAAAAATGGCTCATTTAGATTTCAATTTTTTGCAGTGTATGTTTTGATACAAATGTGTTTGTGTGGCTGATAACTTCCTGCACTTAAAGCCTATAGTGCATACATACCTTTTATATTTTAATGTCTTTACTAATTCCCCTGTCACTGTCAATTTATCTTACAACAGTGGAAGAGTGGCGAAAGAGGTGATGGAGCAAAGTGCCAGAATCAAACGGGAACCTCCTGAAATACACAGGTAGACGTAGGTTTGATATCAGACATTTGTTACAATCTGTAACTTCTTTTAATGCATTTGTCTATTTTGATAACAGGGCTGGCCTTGTGCCCAGTAGAAGTTGTCCATCCATCACCCACGGGCCTCGCCTCAGCAGTGTTCCCCGCACGCGTCGGAGAGCTGTGCACATATCAATCATGGAGGGTAAGACAAAAAAACCTGTATGTAGATTCATAGGAAGCAATCAGAGTTAACTTACAAACGTATTCCTCTTAAACCTGTTTTTATTTTTGTTTTGCACAATCAAACATTTCAATGTGTCTTTATTTCAGAAATAAACACAAAGTTGTGTATGGGTATGAACTAGAAAGGAAATGTTTTTAAAATGTTAATAAAATAATCATCTCTGTGGTGGAAAAATGTCTCTAAAGCCTCCAAATAAAATCCAATCCTACCAAAGCAGAAACTCATCTACTTGATGAATAAAAACCAGTGTGTAATTTAATCCCAGCTGTTCTATGAAGACCTCACAGGTTTGTTACAGAAAATCAGTGATTAAACCAAATCGATATGATGAAGAAACAGATCTGACAGTTTGCTGGGAGGAATTACATACCTGATAAAGCATGGTTATCCACCTTAAGTGACTCCAGGCAGGACATTTATATGATGAGCAACCAGAAGCTCATTGCAGTCGAAGCATTTTGTGGACTTCATTTAAAGCCTCTTTTGAAAAACAAACAAAAAAAAAGAACCGGTAGTTTGTATTTTACCATAAACCATGAAGGAGACAGCATAAAAAGATGGCCGAGGTAGATGACAGCAAGACTGAGCTTTTTTTCCTCATACGTGGCTCATCTAATCCTCAGTATGAAACATGGTGGCGATGAGGGGATGCTTTTGTTTTCTCCTTTGGCAGATCGAAATGAAGCTACAGCTGTCACAGAAAATCCTTGCATGTTGGGACAGTTCAAGGGCTATGGATACTAAAACAAAGCAGAAACGTACCTTTGTCTGGGTTGAGACAGACCGATACAGAAGATCGTTCCTGCCTACAGCTATAGACACCTTAAATTAACTGGATAAAAATGATATGACTTACTGTAACATTTAATTTCCCTTTGGAATTAAGAAAGTATCTTAAATCAAATAAATTGTGTGTAGCTGATAAGTCATGTCTAAGGCTGTGCATTTAAACTGAAATAAAGATCCTTTGGGTGAGAGACAGACCCCCCCCTCCCCTTTTTTTCCTAGTTTACCATCTTAACCTCTCATGTTCAGCCTGAAACTGAAGCCATTTGGCTGAGTGGCCTACTGCTGGTGTAAGCGTCACTCAGTCCCTTTAACTCAGTTCAGCAGAGCCTTAAAGATATATGTGCATGTCTGTGTAATGCCAGCTAAAGTCACATAAGGCCAACCTGTCCAGAATCTGTCCTGGTGACACTTGTTTAGCTATGTGCTCTTTGTACAGTGAGATAAATAGAGATAAGAAGTTGGTATGTTGTGTATGTTAAGAAGAGCAGTAGGAGTTTCCTACCCTCTGTCTGTGCTGACTTGATGTCTTGGTGGTGTATAAATACCTCGGCTGAAAATAACCAGGGTCTTCTACTCCATGTATGTCACTGGCCTGGGTGGGGCCAAGCTGGGAGGCTAATGCTGCCGATTGTAGCAGTGCTTGCAGAAAGCCACTGTTTCGTCTTCAGAGGCAACAAAGCCATTGACTCGAGGCCTGGATTTGGGGCAGGGGACATCAGGACAGAACAGCACTGCAGCAATGGTGAAGTGTCTGATCCGCATCACCACCCGGGTGAACGTTCACCTGCGGATGATCAACCACTGTTACCGGGATGTGAAGGTCCGTGTGCTGAGCCTGGGGCCTCGTATGCTGGGAAAGGCCCTGGGCGTCCTGCCCCTTTACCCTGCCCTGATGGGGCAGCAGGAGCCCAGCAGAATCAGTCCTCATCCAGGTACCCCGCTGCCCTACCCTCAGGCCAGTGGCCCTCCAGGTAAAGTGGGCTGCAAATGAAAGGATTTGGAGACTTTATCTGTTGTCACGTTTTCCACATATTTGTGATTTGTTTTAATAGGTTTGAAGCAAAACACAGGAAAGGATAAAAAAACAACAACTTTTTTCTTGTTAATGTCAGCAGAGGTTTAGAAATTAGGTATAATCCTTCCTGCCTTTTCTTTTAATGATCTCGTCAACTTAAGCTCACATTTGGTTTCCCTTCATTTTGCAGTGAAGGTATAATGTTGCTGCTTTGACCCCCCTGAGAATGTGACTCCGTCAGCAAAGTACTCTGCCATAGCTCATCCTTACTGTAGAGCGTCTCTGTTACTGTACCGGTTTCCTTTAGTGCAGAATAGATACTTCATCTATAAATCCGACTCTTTTGAAGCCCTGTTGGTGAATCTCGGTTGTTGGGGACTCAGTGTAACCTAGGAAAAGCTAAGAAAAGTGTTCAAGCATAAGATGCATGATATTCAGCATATTTATAAAACTTTCTATGACTCTTTTCTGGTTATTTAGGATTTTAAAAAGATTTTGCCAACTGCATGATAGTTTACTTAAGTAGAATAAATAGAGTAAAAAATGTACATATGATCTTGGTTTTTATTTTAGGTTAAAGCTTCTTGGTGACTAATGAAGCTTTTTAAGTATTTTCTATGAAATGAAGCACCCCTGTGATTTCAGAGATGCTATGAAACTGTATAACAAATTATTTAAACTATTAAATTTTTTCTTACTACCTTAGTTAGGAATCCCTGGTGTATGATCAGGGTTGGACTGTAAGAAAAAGATGATCAGATTCTGGATGTGACGATACGTCTCCATTCAAGGCAAGGCAAGGCAAATTTATTTTATATTGTATAGCACAATTCAGTACAAAGATAATGCAAAGTGCTTTACATGATTAAAATATAGGAAAATAAAACAGAATCAAAGCAAGTAGGAAAAAAAATCAATAAATAAAAAATGCAAAAACAAAAAAAGAACGTTTAAAACAGTTGAACTTAAGGAAATAAAAAAGTTGAACTAATGATTTTTCAGTAACAAACCTTTGCTGAATCAACAGCCTTGAAGAATCTCACGCTTCTGAGCTACTTCATAGATTTTCCAACCCGTTGCTGGAATAGAGGAAGTTCATTTTGATATGAGTGTCTTAAAATGAATTTCTATGCCTTTAAATAATATGGGAAAGCTGTGTTACATCATAGAGGAATCAAATGAAATAGGCAGATGTCAAAAAGAAAAATCTGGATCTCCACAAGGCTGATCCATCAGTGGGTAGTGAAAGGCCACATTGATCTCTGAAAGATGATAAATAATTGACAAACGCTGAAAAAGCTGGATGTCATTAAGTTTTCGTTAAGGAATGAAAAGGTTTTGTTGAGATGCTGGACAAAGGGGGCGTGGTAATCTCATGGAGGGGAAGTCAAAATTTTGAATTGAGAAAGCTTCCTGGAGGGGAAGCAAAACGTCTTCAAACCTTGGAAACAAAGTCCAGTGGATTGTTTTTTAAACTTTTACGGAATGACAATGACCTGGATGACTGAGAATCCTCACCAGCATACATTTATATAAAACTCAGAAACCTTCAACCCCTTGTAAAGTACCTTGAGATTACCGTATGTTTATTGACACTGTGTGGATATAAATACTGGAAATATATATACATTTTTTTTATGTATCCCAGGATTTCAAGTATATTTTAAACCCTAAAATAGCATACTAACATAGTACTCTGATTTCCAAGCTTCCCCGGAGTTGCTTATATTAATTAATGTGCTCAAAGAAAAGAAAGAGGTAATAAAAATTTATGTGAAGTTAAAGAATTTTTTATTGAGTAATAATTGTGTGATTATGGAAGGCAAGGTAATAGTAATTGTGGATTTGGATGCAGTTTCTTGCAGCCACTTTAGTCACAAACCTCTGTCATTATCTGATGGACTGTGATTTAATTCTGTGTAAATCATCAGGTTTTGTCATGTTTCAGTGCTTAGTTAGGCTTCTCTGATTCCCATCTGTATTCCTGTGTTTAACACTGATTTGAGCTCCGTTCCTCCCATCAGGCTTTTCACGCATGGGCCATGCTTCAGTTCTATTAATGTTTGTTCGGCATTTACTGTACATGCCCCTTTTCAGTTTGTTCTATCTTGTTGTCTCTCTTATGTTTCCTTCCCATGCTTTTCTTATTTTGTTTCTGCCTGCGTCTTGCCTGTGTTTGGGTACTTTAAAGCAAAATATTTTATAGAACCTTTACTGGTAAACTTACACAAAGCTTTGCATAATTTGGAAGAGAAATAAAAAGGATACATGATGTTTGATTTTGCTTTTCTGTTTAATAGCCTATGGGACGAGGAATTAAATAGAGAGATATCTGAGATGAGAAGTAAGAAACATAACCTTAGAAGCTGATCCTGTTTAAATGGAATACATTCTGATGAATGTGAAGCTTTATTTAGCATTTCACTCATTTGTTGGATGTATTAATGTAACAGAGGGACGTCTTTGACGAGGTTGATTGATTGAAGAGTGTTTGATGGATAGAATGGTAAAAAAAAAAAGAAGCTTTTTTTTCTAACTGCCTTTTTCACACCTCTCCCCAGGTCTGGAGTCTTTGCGTGACAGTGCCCACTCTACACCGGTGCGCTCTGTGTCCCACGGAGAGTCTTTCATCACCCGGTCCCGCAGCCACGCTGCAGATTCCAGCGAGGGGATGGCAGTCATCTCAGACGATGCCTACAGTCCCTCTGACAGCGTCCTTCCCACCCCGGTGACTGAACACAGCACAGACACAGCCTCCTCACGCCAAATCAACGGTGCACCCTGCAGCATCGAGGAGGAAAAGGAGTCGGAGGCAGGCACCCCGATGCGTGGGGAAGGGGGGGATTTTGGTCTGGACAGTAGAGCTGCGAAAGAAGGTGCAGGCGAGGACTCGGCACTGAGCGAGGTCGAACAGGTCAATAAGTTTGTTCTAAGTGTCCTCCGCTTGCTTCTGGTCACCATCGGCCTCCTTTTTGTCTTGCTCCTCCTCCTCATCATCCTCACCGAGTCTGACCTTGACATCGCGTTTTTAAGCGACATCCGTCAGACCCCCGAGTTTGAACAGTTCCATTACGAGTACTTTTGTCCTCTCAGGCGGTGGTTCGCCTGCAAGCTCCGCTGGGTGGGCGGGTTGCTCATTAACAACTGAAGAAGTGGTGGTAACTTAAAAAAAAAAACATTCAGGGGGTGTGAGAAGATTGTTGGGAGTCTGGAGTGATGAAGGACAATCTGATCTGAACCAAGAACAAGCATCTTTCCACTTCCTCCTGCGTTAAAACAAGTCAGACTTGCCCTCCTAACGCTACGCCAGGATCTCTCTCCCCCCACCTTAACTCCCCATCCTGCTACCATTTTATTTATCAAAGCCTGAAGACTGTTTGTTTGTTTGTTTGAAATTTTAAAGTCATTTCAGGAACTTTATTTTTACAAATAACATAAAATTTTGAAAAAAACAAAATCATCAACTGCAGAACCGAAAAGCGGATTTTTCCGTATAATGGAACATGCTGGTTTCTTTAGGAGTTTAATGTTTTACTTTAGTTCAATATTTCTTAGAAACACACAAAGGCCTAAATTTTCTAGTTTGAATTAATTTTTATGTGATCAGAAAAAAAAACAAAAAAGTTAAACCATGAAAAATCATTTCAAGACTTTTTCCATCTGTATTGTGATTTATATCCTGTATTCCTCAACTGACAAGTAAGCAAATCTGTAAGGGACAAACATTTGAAAAGGTACAATTAACTTTCTGCAAAAGTGTGCCCACTTTTAAACTATTTATTTGTTCAAGCAACTTTAGTCTTAGTTTCAGCACAAAGAAAATAAAACAACATGCGTCAGAAATGAATTAAATGGTAATTATTAGGAAGGCTGGCGGTAACCCCGAAAAAACTGCAGTAGTTCTGTGTAGATTCCGATTATAACAAATTGATTGTCAATATTTTCAAATTTTAAAAGACATTTGCCTCAAAAAACAAAACAAAAACATACCTATGCATTTCTGAAAGAGAATCCTACCAGCAGTTATACATGATGGCGGCAGCATCATGGTCTGTGGTTGCTTTTCTTCATGGGGAACTTGGGTTTTGGAAGCATTTCCAAATAATTTAATTTTTCCTTCAAAACCTTCAGGCATCTGCTAGAAACTTACAGGCAGAGAAAAATGCACATTATAAGCATCACAACACGCATCCAAATCAACACTTAAATTGCTTCTTTAAGGCTCTGCAGGAGTTAGAATGGTGCAGTGATCTATTACGAAGTTAAGAGGACATACACTGATTTACCTCTATAAAAGGAGACTAAATGCTTAAAACTGAGTCAAAAGTTGCTTCTGAAAGGTTTTGAAGTTGCACACATCTCTGAAACTAAGCATTGCAAAAATGTTTTGGCTTTTGTATTATCCAAGAATAATTTTATCAAGGGTCTGTAGAAGTCTGAAAACTTCTGTACGTAATGTAGAGAATAAGAGAAGGTAATGAATGTTAGTTAAGAAGGTTGATTCGTCTTTAAGAGACGCGAGTGAGACAAGAGTCTGAAAATGCCAACTGGGATGATGGAGTCATGGTCTTTTGATATTAGTGTGTTATTATAAGAAGACAAGGAGTGGCTTAACCTCTTCACAAGAGACTAATGTGTAAAAAGTGAGAAAAAGATGACAGACAGGGGGATTACTTAATGCCTTTTTTGAATACGTATTTATGACTGTTTAGGTTTTTGGGGAATCTAGTCTTGTCAAGCATCCATATGCAGTGTTACACAAGATCAGCAGATGGGGATGAAGGTAGTTTTTTTTCTAATATTTTCTAAGAATCCCATGAAATAAAGCCGTAGTTCCATGTGTCCTAGTAGAGTCTGAAATAGAGAAACCCTCACAATGTGGACAGATGCACAAGTAGATACTAGTCTAGATAGATGTGTAATGCCGATGTGGTTTTAATAACGAAATACTTTGAATGTGCTCATTTCTTCAGTTTTATTTTATTTTATTTTATTCATCCTATTGAAATTCAATGAATTTCATTTGCTTTTCTTTTCATGAAGAGTTTGATTTATTCTGGTTTTAGCCTTGCTCTTCAGTTTCTGTATTATGCTATATTAATATAACTGCTAGAATAAGAGCAATGATGTACATTTTTGTACAAAATAGTTTGTTTCCTATTATATATATATATATATATATATATATATCTACAGTTTTTTTTTTCCATGTATATTTTACCAGAACTGAAATGTTATTTTGTTATTGAAGATTAAATGATACCTTTTTCTAGTGCTGCACTTCAAGTGAGGCCGGATGCATTTATGGACAGAAGGGGTGGGGGAAAAAATGAAACAGGACTTTCAGCCAGATTCACTCACCAGTAATTACACCAGCCTTTGTTTTAGCAAGAGTAGGTCTAAAGCTTGCAAATCATCTGCAGTTTTAATTGATTAGTATTTTTTTTTTTACATCAAATACAATTTGGATTAATCCTCAAAAGTGGTGCAAATCATCCACAAAATCTGATTTCAGCTGATGTAACTTTACCTTTAGTTATTTTACTTTGAAAGAAGAGATGCTGTGCTCGAAACACTTACTGGGATCTCTGGTAAAGAAGTGGAAAAGGCTTTGAATTTGATTAGTCTTTTATTGCAATGGACATTTATTTATGCACATTTTGAAACAGACAAAGAAGGTTAGAATCATGTTATCTAAACCAGAGGTCTTCAACAGGGGGGTCCATGGAGGTACTGCATGGGGGTCGTGAAAGTTTTGGTTTATTAGACTTTGTTTTTATATTCCCCCCCTGCAATTTTTTCCACTAATTGAAATTTTTTAAATACACATTAACATGAATTCAACACACTGTAGTAAGTAGATAAATGGAGGCAGAAGATGTCTTTCAGTCAACAATGCACACATTCAGCGACACACAGGAGCTTTCTCAAGCTGGGCACCGTTTCATTCACAACACCTGTCCCATCAACCAGGAATGAGAATCAGAAATACTTTAATAATCCCAGGACTAAATTACTTTTATTACATTACCCCATCTGTAATAGACTGGCTATAGGACCAGTTTAAGAAAACACAATTTCATACATAATTAAGGGGTCCCCCGGTCCATCTCTCCATCAGTTTGGGGGGTCCTTGGCCTGGAAAACTTTGAAGACCCCTGATCTAAACTATTCCTGTTTTTATTCTGTAATGAGTTGGATCATGTTTTTGCTAAAAATGTCTTATGAAATCTTATTTTCAGCTGTCTTGCAGAGAAAATTATATTTTTAGATAAAAAGCTTATGTAGCCATATGTTCATAAGGTTCCTCTAGCCTTTGAAAGAGAATATAGAGCAACAGGAGCACAGGTATAATTAACAGGAGACATGTGGTGCCAGGGGTCTGTTTTTTAAATGTCATGAGAGTCTTAATTAAAAAGTAAGCTCTTTTGTTATATTTATACCCTAGATAAATAAATAATTGATGGGTTTTGATTACAATAAGTGAAGCACCTGGCATTTTCCTGAACTGTCTTTCTTTTCCACTGAACTCACATCTTCAAGGGTCTCTTACGCATCTTTACCTAAGATCCAGAGTGCTTCACTGCATCAGCAGAACAATAGAAACTTAACTCACTAATATTTCTGCATCAATATGTTTGACAAAACTGGGACTGATATAATTACATAATTGTTCATTTAAAATATTATAAATTACGAGTTGTTTTTACAAATATGCCCAAGTTTATCCAATCCGGTTCCAGTATTTTGTTTAATTGGTATTAAACATAGAATAAGGAATCCTCAGTATTTGAGTCGATCTGTTTGCTGTCCTGCATCAGAGGAGGCATCATGGCAGCTGAATGGTGGTTAAAGACCAGCCGTTTTTTACTCACGTGAAGGGCAGGAAATTGAAACAGATTAGACATAGGAAAATGAAAAAAATAAAATTAATATGAATGATTGGAACCACGGTTTGGTGTAAGAAGTCATTTAGCTATTTTCTGTTTGTGTAACGATTGGACAAGGCAGACTGCTCATTCTTAATCCAGCAGCTCCTCTGAAGGCCTGATGGTGCTACGTTTCTGTCTACCCTGATTTAATCCAAGCCTATCAGTCCCCGGGGAAGTTGTGGTCCTGATGGGAGGGGGTAGCATGCTCTTTGGCGTTGTGGCTGGATCCACTCCTGTAGCTCAGTATCTTTCACTAGTGGTAATCACTGGTGCAGGCAACATAATACTAAACAGGCAGAGCTGCACTAGCACTACAAGTCTTTTTTTTATTCCCATCTAATTATGCAGCCAATGCAAAGACAAAGCACACTTTTCAAAGCAGCAATTCATGTAGATTTGTTGTGCATTCATCCATGCATTATATTTAGTTTGCTAATATGGAGGTCCAAAAGTGCTACCATTTATTAAATAACTGCTTAAAGTATTGATCTGTTTAAATTTGAAACAAATTTGAAGAGCTACGCTAAGACTTTGTTACAACAGTAAGTAATGAAGTAACAGGAAGAAGCAATACGAAAATAATTATATATGGTTTAACATTTCAATGATTCATTTTTTTTCACTTACTGTTATTAGATATGCAAGTATTTTTTTTAAACATTTATCAGTGACATTTGATTGTGGCACTTTTGGATTTCTATGCTTCTTTACCCAGCTTTCTCGTTATTAAACATTTCTTTGAAGTCTGTAAAGGCGTTTAGTTGACTTCTGTCAGCATTATGTAGCTTTATTGCTCTCCCTCTGCACATACAACATATATTTTTTAAAAGGCAGCATCATTCTAGGAGCAATAAGCTGTAAGAGCACAGGGTGGGACGCACAGACTTCATGATACATAAATGTCTGTTTCTTTAAATAAGCACATATGAAACTGCTGCTGGGCTTTCTCTGATGACCTGACTACTTTGTAACAGCTCTACTGAGTAAGTTCTTTTTTGACACTTCTTACGTTGATGTTTATTCTGCTGTCTTTATGATTGACATATTGTTCCTTGTGCCTGTATTTTGCAATAACCAAAGTGGCTGGAATGAAGAAATGTCAACTTCAGCAAGAGCTCTACATTGTCTCAATTTTTTTTCTTGAAAAAGGGACACGTAACAAATGCTTAATATAAACTTGGGGGAAGATTAAATCTTGTTTTTTCATTCAATACTGACATACTATTTTACGTTTACATGGATTTTTTGTTTTTCTTTAAGGAAATTTCTATATTTGGTCATATGTGAAACTATAATTTTTGTTGCCTATGATTTATATAGCGAATAGGGGTATCGGTTCTTGAAACCATCTTTTCCACATATGGAAGACATGATTTATCCTTAACTGCTGAAATAAGTTTTTTTTTTTGTTTTTTTTACACCATCTCAGGCATATAAAGGGGTTAAACTGTTTTTTTTATATATATATATATAAAATAAGCAGAATAAATCAACTTTTTCATATTTGATCTTGGCAAGGCATGTTGCAAACAATTAATGAAACTTGCCACATTTCAAGACACCCAGCTCTGCTTTTCCCAGTCATCTCCCAGGTATACAGACCCACATAACGCATAAAAGCGTTTCTGTGTCTGGTGGTGTATTTTTTTTCTTTTTGTTTCCTTCAATTGGATATTGCTGTTAAATTGTTCAGTATTTTAAAAATGTAAATCTTATATAAACCTGTGTGCCAAATCCAGTTCCTGTTCTGTCTGATCCATTCCAACCCAATGTTTGTACTGTAGGCAAGCTTGTGTACAAGTTGCTATAAAATATTGTTTCTCTCCAATTGCCCCCTGTATCTGGTGCCATTAAAGGATGCTATTCAAATTTGAAATAAATTAATAAAAAAAAAAATAAAAGCAAAAACAATGCATCTATTGATGTGGTTTCTGTCTGTCAATTTCCCTTTTAAATGACTAAATGCAGAAAACTTGGTGAAATAGTCACAAATTCTATTCTACATATTCTTTATTACAAAAAGTGAAAGATTAGTCAAAAGAAACTCACTGATCCATAACACTTTAAATATCACATCAATTTACAACAATTACATGTATGTAAACATTTAGCATGGGAACAAGACTATTATGTACAGTTCTCAAATTTAAAAGCTGTTTGCGATTTAAGCAGCTTTTAGCTCATGTGAGAATAGGTTGGTTTCAAAAAGGGACGCTGGTTGCTTCGAGGCGTCGGGGCCGACAGGATTCCTGGTGTCCTGCCTCCTCGTGCATCTCCTGCAGCATTCCTAGACCCTCGGCCTGCGCTTTGGGAGCCACCCCTGGAACCGGAATACGAAGACTCAGTGGAGCTGTATCCACGACTACATCCACAAATACAAAAGAAGAAAAAAAATCAGAAGTCACTCAGTGCGGTGGAAATAAGAATAAACCATCAAGCTGAGAGTCAATCATGGCGCTGGTAGTAAGATTGTGTGGGCCTTATAAAGGGCCAGGTTAGTGTGGAAAGCATTTTGCTTTAGGAAATAAAAACTGAAAACCACTTTCACCACTTGTTTGGGTTATTTTGATTATACATTTTATCCAATGCTCATAAAAAAATATTGGCAAAGAAGCAAAGATGGAGGAAACCTGTAGAGAGGGCCTTTAGCTAGGTTTATTCTATAGGGTGAACACTTTGGTGCATTGTTTCTTCAGGCTTTGAGAGGCGTAGGGGGGGTCCGGAATATTTTGAAATTTAGACTGAAACACAATTTCCTGCATTTTGAGGTGGAATGCAGCCAACTTCTTCGTCTCTGTTACAACACCAATTTTTTCTGATTATGGGAATTATGTCTGCTTGATTAGAGGTGGTAATTTCATAAGGAAAACATAAGATCATTTTTAGGTAGAATATTGTGTTTTATAGGTTATTTCAAACAATCAGAGTATAACCTAAACCTACTGCTTAAGATGAAACTTGATTGTTACATATACAACAATTGAACATAAACTGAAAAACAGTCTACAATTACTACAACACTATCTGCAAACCAACAGCTGAGAAAGGATTGCTTTTATTTCCGTGTCTCTACTATGTTGAGAATACAGCTTACACCGAAACTATTTCTGAAACATGATTGTCACATTTTCATGTACCGTATCTTAGTGCAATTTTGTAAATGTAAGCTGATTTGTTACACAAGCAGGTGTATCTGGCCAAAGGGCAGATATATACTAATTGTAAATGTCCAAAGGGCAAAATAAGCTCACAGTTATCCACAAACAGGCATTTATCGATCTTTGAGAAAAAAGACTCCAATTATCTCAAAGAACAACGGAAAAAAATCAGCATCTGTTTGACATTTGCTACGGATTTAGGACAGATCGCGCCCCCTCCCCAGTTTTCACTGACAATATTGACCCAAAGAACAAATACACCTAAAAATAATCCTATAGTTATCAGGCATTCGATGAGTTTTTGTTAACTTTTTTAAGTTGTCTGTAAGGACATTAGATATTCCACCTTATTCCAGGTGCGAATTAGGGCGTACCTAATCCGTACATCCCAAAAACAGAGCGTACAATTTCTAATATTTTTTGTAAAGGCTTTACAATGTACGCCCGTGCGTATTGCTAGCTAAAAGCCTGCTGTAGAGATGATCATGACTCCACGTACCCCTTAGAAGAGTAGCTTTGTTTTCCATATCCTTTTCTCTTCTTAGAATACTTGAAAAATGGAGCCTTCTTCCTCTTCTGTCCCTGAGCAGGCTGGTTGCAGAAGTAGGTGGAGGACTCCATACCCTCATCTTCTGAGCGTCTGGTGTCTATCCAGCCATCTCCTGGATTTTCAGTCTGCTCTTCCACTACAGAGACAAAACTCATCAATTCAACACTGTATACCACATCCCCCTAAAAACAGTAATGTACTGAAGTGTGTCGTCCTACCAGTGAGCTGCCATTCAGAGTATTTCTGAAGCACCTTAATGACCTCAGCTCCATACTTCTCCAGTTTGTCCTCCGTCACACCATCAATTTGTAGGAGGACTTCTGGATCAGAAGAAAGCCTCTCTGGATTCAGAACACAGAAAGTTAGAATATAATGCAGTTGCTGCACATCCAACCGATTCGCAGGTTAAAGAATTACCAGATATCTTCTTTAAGGTGGCAGTGGAGAAGATGTTGTAATAATGAAGACCAAATGCTTTGCCCAGCTGCTTGCACAGATCGATCAGCTCCTTCAGACATTCCTGAACCATCTCCTCTCTTTTGGAGACACTCTTGGAGGCAGAAGCTTTGTGCTTCCTGATGCTGGATGCGCTCTCTGTCTCATAGAACTCCACCTGGATGTGACAAATATAGAATAATGTTTCTGTATTCACCAACAGAAAAAGTAAAAACAAAAGACAAAACGTTTCACTCTTCTAGCTTAGTACATTAAGTTAAGCAATTATCCATGAAGAGGCCAGTCTGCAGCTGGACTAGGAGCCATTTTGTTCTGGGTCCGGCTGATTAAGTCGTCTATTACCATAAATGTTGAAGCTTTGCTGACTAACTATGACCTTTTAATAAAACAACTTATTGTCTTTGTTGAATATCAGCTATATGAAATCTGTTTAATACATTTTATACAATGTATTAAAAAAA